TTAGAACAAGCGGACCGCTCCGGCTCCGCTCGGGTCTTTAACGAAAATTTCGACACTTTTTGTATAAAATAACGTGTTCTACAAAGTCGTAATACGTTATTTTTTTCTATCATCAATAGTTTTCGCAGGGCACGCGATGTAAAGAATATTTTAGGTATTTTTTTTACACCTTGGGTTACATTATTGGTGTTTTAGTAAGAATTACAAATTTTTTTCAAAAAATATTGTAATAGCCTATGTCACTCGGGAATAGTGTAGCTTCCAAACAGTAAAAGAATTTTTGAAATCGGTTCAGTAGTTTCGGAGCCTATTCAATACAAACAAACAAACAAATCTTTCTCTTTATAATATTATAGCCGAGTCGCTTCGTCGGTGGCGAAATACGTTTTTGGCAGAAACGCAAAAGCATCATATTCCAGTCCAAATAATTATTTTAGTATAGGTCAAAGCTGTATTATTTGAAAAAGAAAAAATAATGCCACTAGTTGATCATAATTAAAGAATATATATATTAATGAACGCAATACCAGTTTCCTTTTTCATTTTTCTACTTAAATCACACAACTAAACAATCTATCTAAACAAAAAAAGTAATGTTACCAGACCATCCATGTGGTAATGCGAGTGACGCTCCAGTTTGGTAGGAAAATAGTTGCTTCGAGACCTGAAGATTGAGCCATATCGCTGAGGAAATACAGTGCAGGGTAATTCATTTCAGATTCGGATGATACGGTGTCAAAAGGTACTCTTGAAACGCATTTTGGATTAGCGCAGTGTTACCAAGTAGAGCGGATCAGCTCTGCTTCTTTTAGTGAATTAGTAATAAACAATTGACGGTACCATATCATGGAAGGAACCGAATGGACCACAATTAGAACCGAAGTGCTCTGAGGAATTGTCTGAGATGATACCATCATCTCGTTTTTACCATCGCACCGCCCGTCATCGGAATAGAGTTCATCCATACTACATGGAGCCCCTGCGTTCATCCACGTGGGTGTGTTGGTAGCACTGGACCTAGCAAGAGCCGTGCTTCGCAGAATCTACCACCGGATCAGAAACACGACCCACTGAGAAGATCCGGCGAGAAACTCAGTGGGCTATGGAGCATAATAAGCGAATGTTCTTTGTCAACTCAATGAAAGCAAGAAAAAGAAAAGATTAAAGATATCAATAAAATGTATACTTATCCTTCTGATGCCAAGATGGATAATATTATTAGAGGTAGCCTTCATAATATTTGTGTGCAATTGTACTGTTATGGTATTGACGAACGGTGCCTAGCCCACGTCAGCGAGGAGAATTATGGCGTCTAATTCATTAAGAATATTATGTGCCGCCGTTGTTTTAGTACGTGAGTAATCAATTGCATATTGTTGCCGAATTTATGGTCACTGAATAGTAGCAAGAATAATTGGTACACACACGACGCTACTCTTGTAAAATTACAAAAGCAGCCTGGAAAATAACAATAACTTAGAGTCCGTCTAGGACTAAATATAATTTTTGAGGTTCATATAATAAAATTTAAAGGGCTTATTAATGTAGGTTTTTTGTTCCGATTTCTTATTAATTCCCCAAGTCGAAATACTACGAAAAGTATTTAATGTATTTTCTTCGGTTTTCGTGAATTGGAAACATAATTAAAACTATGTACTTTTAATTACTTTAATTTCTCTCACTTGTTTTATTGTCATTATTATATTTCCGATGTTTTGAATATTTTACAATTTTCATGGTCACGGTCGATATTTCGTATATAAATAACATGGTGACAGTAACAGGATGACGGATGAGATTAAACTGTTATAGTATGGAGTAGGTTTAAGTAATCTATACTAATATATAAATCTACAGTGTTTTTTACGGATGTTCCGTTATAACTACTGAAGCATGCATCCGATTGACTTGAAACTTGGTATCCATGTAGAAAATACATGTACTTAATGGATAGGCTAATATTTATATGAGTGTTGGACTCCCTACACCGGTTGCGGGGGCGTTAATAATGAGAATATTTGTGGGGCTGAGAAATAATAATGTTAATTTTAAATGGCCAGCGAAGCGGACGGGTACTGCTAGTTAAACTATAAACAGGTCGATTGTTTTTGTTTCGTTGCCTGTAAATTAGTGGATTTATATAATTTCACAGTAGTTTTTTTTATATTTAAAGATAAATAAGTTCTATTTTTATTATGATTATCCGATGAATTTCTGTACAGTTATAGATCTATTTTTTTCTTTTGTTTGCATTTTTTTGCCCTGGTCACGATTATTTGTTTACGTTCACAAAGAACATAACCGTCGCCATTGCCATAATTAACATTAATAATGTTGTAAATAAACACGTTGTTGACAGAGCCAAGTGTGTGTTTTTATTATATTTGGCTGTTTGTAAATTTTTGTGAATTCACGGATAAATATGATCGGTTATTTTGTTATTCTCACAAACAAATTACACCCTTTTTTGTCTATTGAAAATTGAACCATTAATATTATTGGTTGAAATGAAAAATATGTTGAAAATATATGTTTTAGTGGAAATTAGTACCTCGTTAATATCAATATTGCTGCGAAATAGATTAATAAAATATTGTATATTTTTCGGTTTTTCCGAGACGTAGTCATATCAAGGGGTGAAACTTTTGCTAAATCGCAAAAGCAATTTTACAGTGAGCCATTTAAAGTTTAAAATTTGGAAACATATCGACGTTTGAAAGGCAAACATGACTAAGTGACAATAACTGCTTTGTACATAAATGATAGGCAATAACAATATTCGATGCGCAAAAAAAAGTATATTTCTAGGTTTATTAAAATCATTTCAATACTACAGCTACTAGCTAGATTCTACTACAGCTAGATTCGTTAAAATAAATTTTGTTTTCAGGTATTTCAACTTGAAATTAGTCTACTGTAAAGTTCACGCATTGTCGCTTAGTCACGTTTGCCTTTCAAGCGTCGATATCATAACAAAAAAAAAACTTCTTCAGCTATTTTGAATGAGGTAAACTTAAATTAAGTTCAATTAAAACATCGAATTGTTGATACTAATACCAAATAAAACTCACCTTTAATCACAAAGATAAAAGTCGCGTATTAAGCGAAATATCGCTTAAACCAAATAGTTTTGACTGGTGGTAGGACCTCTTGAGTCCGCACGGGTACGTACCACCGCCCTGCCTATTTCTGCCGTGAAGAAGTAATGCGTTTCGGTTTGAAGGGTGGGGCAGCCGTTGTAACTATACTTGAGATCTTAGAACTTATATCTCAAGGTGGGTGGCACATTTACGTTGTAGATGTTTATGGGTTCCAGTAACCACTTAACACCAGGTGGGCTGTGAGCTCGTCCACACATCTAGGCAATAAAAAAAAAGTACTATTGATTATATCGAGAGATGAAAGACTTTTTTTTTTGCGCCACACACCTTGAGATATAAGTTCTAAGGTCTCAGTATAGTTACAACGGCTGCCCCACCCTTCAAACCGAAACGCATTACTGCTTCACGGCAGAAATAGGCGGGGCGGTGGTACCTACCCGTGCGGACTCACAAGAGGTCCTACCACCAGTAAAACTTTTATTATCATTAAATTATTTCAGACGTTTTGTATACTTTACAATTTTCTTGGTCCCTGATGAAAGCCGTAAAAATGGTTTTATTTAAAAAAAAGGATGTGTGGTGTCGTGGGACACCGGATAGGAACGAAGTTCCTTATTATAAAAATATTAATTTTAAGTTCTGTTCGAGGGATAAAGAAAATAAAACTGGAGGTTTCGCAACAACCCACGGTCAATCGGTAACGTGCGAACTTATTGTGGTACACTTCATTTACGGTTGTTTGCATAAGAGTTAGTGTATTGCGCAAACGAACGCTCTGGGATCGTTGTCAATGAATGATAAAAAAATATGTGTACTATTGTACGTTATTACAAAGTTAAGTCGTACACTGTGTGCATTATACTAATAAAAATCTGACGTTACGGACGTTTTTTCCCGGTTAGGGTACCCCTCCGCATCGTCTCTTAAAGAACTTCGTTCCAAAAATATATAAAATATTATTGGATTATTTTTTTATTTGCTCAGATTGGTAAACGAATTGACGATCCAAAGACACCAACCATCATGATGTGTTTTTGAATACATCTTGAAAGTTTAACATAATGTTTGTCCTACACAACATACCAGCGATTACTTCGTGGCCTGAATAGGTAGGACAGTGCTACCGAACAATGTGAGTTCACACACGCCAGCTTCTAAATTTGATTGTTGATTTTAGTAGAACATTATTATTAACTAATCATGTAAGTAGTTATCCCAAAATCGATCGACGGTACAGAGGTAAGATGAAAAGAAATAAAAAAAATCGTGACGTTAAAGATGTCTCCTGTCAAAATCCCGCAGGCAGGTACCATTTTTTTTACTACCACGATGAAGGAATAGAGTCGGGTATTTAAAAAAAAACGCAAAAAATTAGGTGGGTGGACAAGCTCACTGTCCACCTGGTGTTATGTGGTTACCGGCCCATAGACATCTACAACGTAAATACCGCCACCCACCTTAAGATAAAAGTTTTAAGGTCTCAGTATAATTACAACAGCTGCCCCACCCTTCAAACCGAAACGCATTACTGCTTCACGGCAGAAATAGACAGGCTGGTGGTACCTACCCATGCAGATTCACAAGAGGTCCTACCAGCAGTAAAATACCAGTATAAAACACTTTGTTTATTAAGAAACCTTTCAGGGTTTCTCGTTTACCTAATAGTTTTCCGGCCCACCTGATGTTAAGCAGTTTCCGGATATAATGTGTATGCCGCTTACCGTCTTAAGACGTGAGATTAAGACTTCCGCCTCATTGGTTTTATCCAAAGCACCGGTCATCGTTCCCGTAAAAAAATAAAAAAAAAAACAAAGAGGTGACTACGAAACCCAGCAAACTTAAAAACAGGTTTTAGAAAAGTAAATCATGAAAATGACTTTTGAAAAAAAAAGAACTCACCAAAAATAAGAATGCTAATTATTGTTACAACATTAAATCTCCAAAACATTTTTTTTTCTCGGTTCATTCACTAAAACTATTTTAGAAGCACTTATTTAATTTTCATTTTAGTCTTTAATTATATGTTTATGTATTTTTTTAAACTAAATCCTCATTACATACACTCTTTAAATCACTAATCGTTTTTATTGTAGCACTGAATCCGTAATATTTTGAGACGTGCGCTCATCACGATAAGTTGTCATGTACTAAAGCTGAATTGTATTCGCTGAAATACTTAGCTGCTCAGCGCTGGCAGATCGAAGTTCATACACGCTGAATTGGTCTTGTTATATTAAAAAAAAACATAATAATGTAATGTCTTTTGTCAGTTTAACTTGCTCATAAACTTTATTGCTGCCGATATCGATTCACGGCCGAAAAATGAAGCTAATTTATATGTTAACTAGCTGACCCGGCTGACTTCGTAATGCCTCAATCGATAAATAAAAGACCTAAACTTTTGTATAAAATAAACTTAAAAAAAAACAAAAGGAATCCGTCCGACAGGGGACACATCAAAGGAAAAACAAAATTGTTATTTCTATTTATTTCCGAGTATTTTCATATTTATCTACCTTTTAAACCTTCTCTGGACTTCCATAAATAATTCAAGAACAAAATTAGCCAAATCGGTCCAGCCGTTCTCGAGTTTTGGCGAGACTAACGAACAGCAATTCATTTTTATATAATATATAGATATCCTGATTGAGTTGTCTAACAAATAACTGAATGTCACACTGTGGAGATAGGGCGGCTTATTAGCCCGCATGGATAGGTACCGCTGACCTGCTATTTTGGCGGCCAAGCAGTACCTAATGCCTTTCGGCTTGAAGGGCGCGGCAGCCATTGTAGTAGAATTGAGAGTTAAAACTCACGACTCAATGATGGCATTTACAACGTAAAGTCTATGGGCCGGGCATCCACTTAACGCCAGGTGGGCCGTGAGCAAATTCGCGCGTCAAAAAATCTTCTATCACCATGAAGTAAATATAGTTAAAGTAAATTAAATGCAATTTTTATTTTGAACGATTCATGAAATAGTTTCAAAGTATATTCGTTAAAGACTACATTAATTAAGAACTGCGGCTAACTCTAGATGTTAGCGTCAGTATTCCAAGTAACACGAAATAAAGATAGAGATTGGAAAACTTTACAAAGTACAGTCGACAATTCAAATTATATAGCTGACTAGCTTTTGCCCGTGACTCCGTCCGCGTGAAATAGTTACTTTGGCATAACACTTTCACCCCTACTTCATTTACGTAGAAAGTGAAAATATTTTCATTTATAGAATGTTAAGGAGCCATTTAAACCCCTATTTCGAAACATTATTTATTGGTGCTCCACTTTATTGGTCTTATCGTGATGTTATAATATAGCCTATAGCCTTTCTCAATAAATGGGTTATCTAGCACTGAAATAATTTTTCAAATCGGACCAGAAGTTCCTGAGATTAGCGCGTTCAAACAAACAAACTCTTCAGCTTTATAATATGTATTAGTATAGATTTAAAATGATATCGTTCAGTGCCTATAAATCTGTCTTTTTGATTTGTTAGGTTTATTATGACGTGCCTATTTATGCAGTAGACGGGCAAACGAGCTCACGGCGCACCTGATGTTAAGTGGACATTGCAACGTGAATACCGCACCCACCTTGTCGAACAGTGATCAGTGCTCAAGATAGGAAACACAGAGTAGAGTAGAATAAACAAATTCAGCAAGCACCTACATCGCGCCAATGACATTTACAAAATAAGCTTACTCATATAAACAAGTTCTAAACAATAAGATTCGGGCTATAGATCTAAACACTCGCTAGGTAGAATATCTTCATTTTGTTACTCCCTATACACAGACGAGAGATATGCCACAATTTGTTTTAAACGAAAATTCACCGCAGTTTGCATCCGATAAAACAAATTAAATAATAAATACCTAGTCAGGTCATAAATTCTGTCACATGTTTAATGTAAAATAATTGAAACAAGTTTATTCATTATGTAACCATTCATATACCAAAATGAACTTAACAAAACATAGAATCTTATGACACTAAAGTTTATTCAAAATGAAATCCGTGATTTTGAATACAGACCTTCAATCTGCGCGGCCAGTCGTCTATCGCAGCACGAACGAGGTCTATGTCAATATCGGCAACTGCCTTAATCAAAAATGTCTTGAGTGACTCCAAATTGGGATGAGGCTTTGAGCACGCCTTTTCCTCCAAGTGTTGCCATATCTTGTAATCTAACGGATTCAAATCTGGACTGGAGGAGGGCCAGGCTTCGTGCCGGATGAAGTCGAGTTCACGCGCCGCCAGCCAGTCTTGTGTGCTCTTCGCTCTATGAGCTGGCGCCGAATCTTATTGGAATACCCAGTGCCTGTTATTGAACATGGTATGAGAAACAGGTTCCACAAGGTTCGTCAGGACTGTATTTTGATACACAACTGCATTCGTTTTTACACCTTTCTCACAAAAATGTACCTCTGTTAAGCCCCAATAAGAAACTCCCAACCATACCATGAGCGAGGATGGAAAATGACCTCGTTGGACACGCGGAATACGGTTGCTCGCTTCTTCACTACTGTGTGCGTACACCTTATCATTTTGTTTGTTGTAGCTCTCTTCTACGGTAAAAATTTTTTCATCCGAAAAAAGAATTTCCCGATATTTTTTTCCCGCGTACCGCTTCAACAAAGCGCGGCATCTCTTCAGTCTCAGGTCCATTAGACGAGCATTCAAACGATGTCCTGTTTTTCTTCGATATGCCCGAAGCCCTAAGTCTTCATTTAACACCCTTTTCACCGTGGTTCTGCTTAACCCCATCTGAAGGGCCAACAGTTTCTGCTTACGTTTGGGATTTCTTTGAATTCGCGCCTTCACAGCTTTTATCACTGCTGGAGTCCTAACAGACCGAGGGCGACCACTTCTTGACCTGTCATCTACACTAGAGTCTTCATTGTATCGTTTGATGGTACGATAAACGAATCTTTTGGTTATATTCAAATTTTTCAGTATGTTAAAAATTTGAATTGGCGCGTAACCGCAACGATGCAACGCAATAACTGCAACACGGTCTTCTTTAAGCGTCCACTCCATATTTAAAAATGAGTAAAAATTCTAAAAGAATACATTTTTATTTTCATGAATCGAATTCAATAAACTTTTTTGTGGCCAGCATTCTAAAAGAAAAGTTTTTACTGTGTGACAATACTTATGACCTGACTAGGTAGATAACTCTCAAATTAAATTCGTAATGTTTATACAAGAAACTGGCAACGTCGATTTGTATTACAAGATAATAAATTCGCAATGAAAAAAAATATTTGAGATAAAAACGATAAACGAATTATATTAGTTTGTGTATCGATAAATTCTTGTGGTTTGTGTTTTATTGTACATTTAGTTATCTGTGTTTAGAACGAGATAAAACGTTACGAAAATATGCGGATTGTTATGCCGGCCACTCACATGCGCGCAAATATTCGTACATTGTAATTCGTACATTGTACATTGTAATATTCGTACATTTTACGGCCGTCTGGAGTAGTGGTAAGTGGCATAGTCACTACACAAGGGGGTCGCGGGTTCGAATCCCGCCATGGGAAGATATTTGTATGATAATTATAAATGTCTTTTCCAGGGTCATGGATGTATATTAAATATATGTATGTGTATAATAAAAATCTTACATTTATTTCCGTTATCTGGTACCTGTAACACAAGTTCTTTACGAACTTATCACGGGATCAGTTAATGTGCCGTGATTGTTAGTAAATATTTATTTATTTATTGTACAATGTTTGCGCGCATGTGAAGGGCCGTCAAACATTCATTCGCAAACTTAGCGGCTGTGCAAATGGGTTCGGTACTCAATTTGCGAACCCGTTTGCGCTTCCTCCTACACTTGTTTACGAATGTCTCACGAATTTCTCCTCCTTTTTAATTCGTCAATAGAACATTGAAGAGAAAAAGAATTTTGAATTCTTCCCTGACATCATTAACAGCCATGCTGTTTTTATGGGATTTCTTTTGATGAAGATTGTAACGCTAGAAAATTGAAATTAATTTTTTTTTGAAATTAACGCCATCTAGCGTATGCGTGGCGCAGTGTGGGGAAAGAATATCATTATGAAACACTGCTTAGTGCTCTTACTCGACACAGCATGGCGTGATTGTGCTATCTTGTCTGTGGTTCGAGGGTGAGATTGGCACAGCACTATAGGCGGAACATTCGAGAACCGTAAGACTATTCGTATAAAAGGACAAGTCACTTTGTCCGAAGCCTATATCAACGATATACCCCGGTCTCCGGAGACCCATCTGGCGCTCTTAGCCGATGACACCGCCATCTACTACTCGTGTAGGAAGAAGGCGTTGCTTCATCGACGACTTCAGACCGCAGCTACCACCATGGGACAGTGGTTCCGGAAGTGGCGCATCGACATCAACCCCACGAAAAGCACAGCGGTGCTCTTCAAAAGGGGTCGCCCTCCGAACACCACGCTGAGCACCCCTCTCCCGACTAGGCGCGTCAACACCTCCGCCCCCGCCGTTCGCCCAATCACGATGNGACTGCACGTGGGAAAAAACGACGCAACAATGACAAATATGGCGGCTTGTCTTTGCTTGTTGGTTCGGTTCCAGACGTTATAGAGGGCGCTGTAGATGGGACTTAGGAAACGGAAGTAGTCAAATTTAGCGACCTGCAGTGGAAATCATACGATGTACTCTCATAATGGACTTCGGACGTCAAACGGAACACATAATATCAAACTGTTGATGCTGATACCAAATAAAATGAGCCTTTAATTACAAAGCTAAATGCCGCGTATTTAAGCGAAATAAATCAAAGAGGTAAATAAATCACCAGGAAAATATATTTAAATACTTTTTGTATGTAACGCAATTTTAAAATATTAACTATTTTTACCAGTGAACATAATTTCTGAATCCAAACAACAGATTTGAAGAAGATATTGAAAGTCATGTTAAAGTTTTTGTTAATAACATTTCAGTAATCGGTTAAAACTTTTAAACAACTTCACACAGCGTCATTTCAAATTAGTTCCTTTGCTGTTCCCCAATTAAAAGGTTAATCGACGGACGAATTTCGTTCAAGAGTTAAATGACGTCACATCAGACGGCTGGGAATCATTTGCGAATAAAATTCATCGTTGTTCTCTGACGTTTATACAAAAATATAGCCAATTTTGAAGTCATCGTGGCTTAGAGGATAAGACGTCCGGTGCATTCGTATCTACCTATGCAACGGTGTTCGAATCCCGCAGACGGGTACCAATTTTTTTAATGGAATACGTACTTGATAAACGTTCACGATTGACTTCCACGGTGAAGGAATAACATCGTGTAATAAAAATGAAACCCGCAAAAATTAAAATTAATTAACTCATTACTGGTGGTGAGTCCGCACGGGTGGGTACCACCGCCCTGCCTATTTCTGTCGTGAAGCAGTAATGCGTTTCGGTTTGAAGGGTAAGGCTGCCTTTGTAACTATACTGAGACTTATATCTCAAGTTGGATGGCGCATTTACGTTGTAGATGTCTATGGGCTCCAGTAATCACTTAACACCAGGTGGGTTGTGAGCTCGTCCACCCATATAAGCAATAAAAAAAAGAGCTATTACGACAGACGTAAAATATCTTCCATACAGAACACGAAATATGGTCGTTCAAATGTGGAGTCATGAATCCTTTTGTCAAGAATCATGATATCCTCGAAGCCATCACAGATTCAAATGGTCTAGAGTTGTATGAAAAATCCCGTCTGAGTAATTTTAATAAATATACATTATATTACCTAGCTGTATAAAGGAAAAAAACGCGAATTGCGTTTAACTCTAGTCATATCCTGTGCATTGTGATTAAAGTAAACACATTGTTAGCTTGTGATTCATAGTACAAATTGATAAATGAACTTAAATAAACATTTCACATGCCATGGCATTCAAACATAAACAACATTCTAAAAAGTTGATCTAATTTTTGAACTACGAAATCTTAGACTAAATTTCTCTTAGTTTCTTGTTTAAAAAGTTTACTTAGCCTGCCAAATTATGACTTCGCAGGCAGACCTATTACCGTCGGGCGTGGATGTCAGTCCCGACGCCAAAGGCACAGCCAAGCCGCTCATGTAACTTAATCACTGTGCCAGTATGGACACATAGGTGAGGACTGGAGTGGCTTTCAGGTCATTGAAACCCCTGACTTCTCCGAGGAGCTGGATTAGGGCTTGTGAAGTCTCTCTCACCCTCAACTCTCACCTTCACTGGTGGTAGGACCTCTTGGGAGTCCGCACGGGTAGGTACCACCACCCCGCCTATTTCCGCCGTGAAGCAGTAATGCGTTTCGGTTCGAAGGGTGGGGTAGCCGTTGTAACTATAGTGAGACCTTAGAACATATCTCGAGGTGGGTGGCGCATTTACGTTGTAGATGTCTATGGGCTCCAGTAACCACTTAACATCAGGTGGGCTGTGAGCTCGTCCATCCATCTAAGCAATAAAAAAAAAAAATAACATAGGAACTATTTAGGACACTGAAAATCTCTCCCAGTATTGTAATATTTTTTGAAAAATCTATTATTTTTTTATCTGTGACAAAATATAAAATGTGTCAAATAAATCAGACATGTGAGTTTTTTTTTTAAAAATTACAAAAATTTACTAAGCATGTTTGTGTTTTGTTCTTGTAATTCAAAACAAATAATTAAACATAAATAAATGCATTTATTTCATCATATATACTAAATGTAAGTTCTGTTAAACAGATTTGTGGTGATAAAATTATTATTTTTATGGATAATATCCTTTTTTTTCTTCTAGAGATCAACTAAGCACAGGGATACAATCAAGTATAAAGCCTCAAAATAATTTCACAGCAATAGTGTTATCATGATAAAAATCAGTGCACACTGCCCCAAATGAACTAAGTCCATAAAACTAGGTCATCTCGTCATTTGTCTGGCTACTTTCGTTAATGATTGTCCAACTAATACTTTATCTCCAGCAGCCATATCAAATTTGAAGTCCTTTGGGGCCTCAAAGAGCAGTATGATAGTACTTCCCATATTGAATTGACCGAAGAGTTCACCTTTGCTCATGCATACCTGTCCTAATTCGAGTTCGTTCACACGATTCCGTTTACCTTTAGTGTTCGTTCTTAATTCTGGATCTTTGAATATTTCTATAGATCCCACATTTGTCGCTCCGACGGCCGTCATGCTGAAAAAGCCATACTCCCATTCTCCGACATACACAGCTCTTTCGTTGACAGTGAACAATCCAGGTATTAGTTTCGCCAACCAAGGATTTACAGAGAGCAATTTCCCTGAGAAATGTCTCCTGAATGTAGCAGTCCAATCGCAAGGAGCATGAAAGCGGTGATAATCCCCGGGCGCTAAATATATTATGCACTGATGTAATATATTCTCTTTATTCTTTAGTAAGGAGTTGTAATAGCTCTCATCTTTCCTTTTTAGCCATTTGTTTTCACCGAGGAATTCCTCAAGGCTGTATGTCACACCTTTTACCTGTTCAATCTTATCGGTATCAGCTGGGCCACAGTTCAAGACTACTCCGTCACAGGGCGATACGCAGGGCGCTGCTGATATGTATCTCGCGCCATCCCTGAGCGGCCTGGTGAAGAACGCTGATAAGCTTTTGTAGTATTTCAGGTCGGTGACTGCTGCATCATTTAGGTTCACGCTGAACATTCTTATGTACGTGCCGTAGACGAAGCTGCGGAGGGACACCGGGATTTCGCAGGCCGCCATTTTCCCCCACAATCGACTGGTCACCCGGAAGGGGAACATTTCGTAAAATTTAATCTCGACTTTTGAAACTTCATAATCTATGCTAGCGCGAATGTAACACCAACCTACGTACATAACACTCCCTAGAGGCATCCATCTAGTGAATATTGCGCGGAAATTTAACCATTTCGTTTTATTATTGGCGTTCGTATTAAAACTCTTTGTTTGAATTGTGCTCGTTTGTCTGAAGGGCCTGTGTGGACGTAACCGCGGTTTGTACATTTGATTCATGACTGGGAGGCAACTCCTTAAGCGCGTCGGCGGAAACATGGCTCCACAAGGCCGCTATAACGTCCGAGGTTTATTAATAGCGTGCGTGTTTATTGAGTTTATTTGATGTTTCTCTCGCAGTTTTCGTGCGCACCAAACTCACTTTATAGTATAACTGAATGACTTTGACATTGACAGTTGACAGTTTTTGTAGGCTTGATACATCATCGTTACTTTTTGAATTTACATGAACAAAACGGAAAAAAGTTCTGAATGTACTCATAACATTGCGTATAAATAAAATTAATTTTGCTATCTATCGATTTTTTTTATAGCTTATCCACTTAAATTTGTTGAAAAATACTACTGAACATTCAGTAATGACATAATGGGCTTAAATTGAACTAGGCGAAATTCGAATCTAAAACAAATAAAACTGCCTATAAATTTAGTCTTGGAATACAATTAATTTGCATTAGTGTACCATGAATGAAAATGAAAATTTTTATTGAAGTTCTGCGCTACCACATTTTACCCGTCAAGAGCAGACTTCTTCCACCAATTTCCTACTGCACTTGCTCACAGAGGTGTTTATTGAATTTTGATCAACGAGAAAGTTGAGAACAATATCTGTGATGTTTAAAATACCTTATCATAAAAAATCTAAATACAAAACAGAAAGGCTTTCTTCCTTTTTCATTCTTTCAAAATCATCTTAAAGTAATATAAGATGGCTTTACTAGTGCCGTGGTCTGTCTTGTGCATTCGTTGATAAAACTGTATAGAGCTACCTTTATTTGGTCGGTCCATCGTAACAGCAATCTGCCGCGTGGTCTTTGTCCGAAGAAAGCGACCCTGAAGTGCCCTGAATGTCGGAGGATAGAGGTTGCTTGATGCCTAGTTCCTGTACAATTGACTGATTCGTTCTGAACCCCGTGTATATATATTATTATTTTTATTACCTTTGTAGGCAAACGAGCACCTGACGACCCACCTGATGGTGAGTGGTTACCGTCGCCTATAGACGTCAGCAATGCCAGGGCCAAAGCCAAGCCTTCTCCAGCACCACATTTCGATAGCATCTATAATTTTTTCTCACTTTCTCTTAAGGTCAGCCATGGACAGACTAAAAAAAATATGGGGGAATCTAATGTCGCTAAAATTAGACTTGTCGTCTATTTCATTTTTATTTACGCTGCTGAGACTTGGACATTTAATTACATGGTACTTATAAAATACTAAGAGAGCTCCGCCTATTAAAAATAAAATAAAAAATAAAAGTAGAGTATTCAGATAGAGGATCATAGTAATATGGTGTTGGCAGGTGGATGTTGCTTATTCCATGGATGGCATGTCCGACCAACTTGTCCATTCTGAACGAGCTCGGTATTGCCACAAGGCTCTCCTCTCCGCTATCTGCTTCCAACGTATTCTCGCGTACTTCATATCACTCGTAGAGACCCCAATAACTTAGAGCTGATGGTAGTTGGTCAGGTTGGCAGGAGAAGATCACGCGGACGCTCACCTACACGCTGATCTGATATAATAATTATCTTCACCGGCTTGCCAATAACCGAAGCCTTAAAGACTGCCGACGACATGAAGACGCTTCCCCACGTCTTGTGTATCGAGTGGTCAACATTTCAAATTAGACACGACCTTCAGCAATGAAGCGGCTGACTCAGAAGAAGAAGAAGAAGAAAGAATTACCTCGTTAGTCGAAAAATGTCATTTTGACAACCAAAGCAGTAAGTAATGTCCTGTCGTTCTCATCTGTATTATCTATGGTTCCCATTAGTATGACAGACAGAGTCCTAGGTATTGTTGACGTTCGTTTTGTTAATTTTTAATAGTATTTTATTTTCGTTTTTTCTTTTTCTCCTTTTATTTCATCGTTCCATGTCTATAAACAGTGATGGAGATTCATTTGAGTGCGTCGAAACGCCAACAGCACTCGATATCGGCTCGAAGTCCAATGAAAGTTTCGCTCGTGAGTCTAATGATTTTTTCCCGCCTGGCCCAGGTTTTAGGGGCTTCGAAAAGGTTCCCATCGTACTGGTGGCTAGAAACGACATAGAATTATACTTAAAACGTATGAACAAAGTAAAATCTGACGGCAATAACGTTAAAAAGCTACACGAAAAAAGAATAACGAGTTTGTGCTGTGTGTTGTTGCAGCGAGAGGATTTTCTGTTATTTAGGAACGCGACACGAGAAAATACGAAACAGGTCGACGACACGTCCAGCTCCGACACGGAAAACGAAATGGTTGATCCGAAAATGGCGGTAAAATGCAACATTTGCGAAAAATCATATCCAACCGAGAAGAAATTGCTGAAACATCAAGACAAAAAGCACATGATCGTATACGAGAGGCCAAAGAAACGCGTCTCGTTCTCCGACCACGTTATAGTTCACGAAGTGAAAGAATATCATAAATGCAGAAAATGCCCTAAAATATTCAAAGAGTACAAATCGTTGAAGGCCCACTCTAAATTACACCACAAAAAGCGTAAATGCTATATATGTAATTACTGTAACAAGAAATTTGTAGATCGGGTGTTTTTTAAAGTTCACATCAAACTGCACTGTGATGTTTGTGGACTTCTCTTTTCAAGTAAACTGAAATATCTTCAGCACAGACATAAAGCTTGTCGCATACAAAAGAAACACCAATGCAGAATATGCAACGAATCATATTTCCGGTACATGGACCTCAAAGATCACAGTCTCGAACACCTAAGGCTGTGTTATGTTTGCGATGTGTGTAAAGAACAGTTTGATACGAAATGTGCAATTGCCCACCATTTAAAATTCTTGCATTCCGGTAGACGCCCCCGGACATTATACAAAATACTCAATATAGGCACCGAAAGACTTTACTTGTGTAGGTTCTGCGACGAAAGCTCTGTAGATAAAAGGTTAATAGAGAAACATACACAGCTGTTACCGGATTTGAGTAATCGAGCTATGACGGGCTACCGAGACTTCTACTTTTGCGATCAATGCATGAGGAAGTTCAGCACAGAGACCGATATGCTACAGCACAAATGGACTCATTTCCTGAAGACTTCTGACAACACGCAGGTGCAACTTCAGAGTGTGCTAGTGAATAAGAAGCCAAAGTTGAAAACGACTTACAAAGTCAATGACGTAATACCGGAACGCTTTAATCCTAAAGTGGTTTTAGAGAAATTAGCAATAGACCCATTTCCAAACTACATGAGCTTTAATTGTAAAAAGTTTGATATTGTTACCGGTGAAATTAAGAAAGCTATAGTAGATCCGAAAAGTAAAAAAACGATAGTATCAAAACATCAATGTCCTGTGAGTAAGCTTCTCGATTTATCGTAGCTCAGTATAGTATATAATATTTTACTTTTCAGGTGAATTATGACCTTCTAGCATATTTTGTCACAAATCACTTGCATTGATTTGTTGAATGGATCAGGTGCTCCATCACAATAGAGCTATGGATCTCATGTCTTGGAGTCTGTTACAGAATTCATGTAATGTCATGCATCATCTGGTATCCATTTAACAGAAGTGAACTGTGAGTTCAGGACTTGGGAAACAAAAGTTGCTTTTTAATTTTTTATTTATTACTGGAGCCCATAGACGTCAACAACTAAAGGACGCAATCTGCCTTGAGACATGTGTTTTGAGCCCCCTTTTTGACCCTTCAAAGAGGATAACTGCTTCACATCAGAAATAGGCAAGTGGTGGTATAGGTAATAACATTCTAGCTTATCTGTTAAAATTAAAAAATACAAATAAGTTATTGCGAATGCGAGCATCAGCGAATTTGCTAAATTATTACAATTATTATTTAATTTTAAAAGCATTTGTAGCTTAATAAGCTGATCTATGTGTATTGCTTTACCTCTTATTAAGTAATTTGAAATCCAACTGCTGTGTGTGACGACTTAGTAAAGGGCGAGAGAATCTGCTGAATATGAGCTGTGCAGGTCATTGTGATGAATCTTGATGGATGCCTATGTCATCTACATCTGTGGGCTGATGACGATGATGATGCTAGTTTTACTTCATTTTTTGTTTTCTGCCTATTGTTATCATTTCAGGATTACCAATAGTTAGTCATATTAAGTTAATACAATACTAAACTGTTGATTAACATACAATTAACGATTCATTTAAATAAATCAAATCGAGCCAATTGTCTAGTGCAAAATCACATTTCTAAAAAACGTCCGTTAAAGAATTTGTTCATTAAATTTCAGATATGCGGTAAGTATTACTCAACAAATTACTGCTTGAATCGCCATATTGAATCACAGCACAAAAATTCCGAGAATCTTCACTGCCATGTCTGCGAGGAGACCTTTGTTTGGCCTTCACTCTTGAGGTCGCACAAGTGCCTCCGCCTCAACCACTCCGAACACCCATTCCAGAACTCGAACCCGGAGGCCCCCTTCCATAACTACAGTGAACAAAATGCGTTTGATGATTTTAATATATCATACGATGATGATTATTTGAATAACATTGATTTCGAGATACCTGCTCCGATAGTGGAGCTGACGGAAAGTGAAAATGTGTTTATTCCTAATAACTTGATAGATCAAGACGGGGGTAAAGTGTGCATTTCCCAGAATGGATATAAAGTGGTGGTCCAAGAAGTACCTGTCGAATTTTAGTGCGAAGTGATTATTGTGCACGGTGTTTGGGATATGAGGTTTCGGGACCTACATTTTTTTGTGTACAAGTGAATTGATAAGGAGGATTGAAATTGTTTTAAAAGACCAAATGTAATAGTGACAAATGTCAAAACTGGCAGCTGCCATTGTTTCCAAACTTTCTAACTCTCTCAGGTGTCTAAGGGTCTAGTCACTGGAGGATCTATGTATTCATAATCATACAATTATGCTTTGGGTAAGAAACATCATTCCGTATATGTGAGTAGCCATATAATGCTGCTTCACTTGTGAAAGGCTGGACCTATTTGATTGATTTAATTTTTCAAACTATCATGTCAAGTCAAGTATTGTATTACTATTATTACTTTAAATCCACTGATTAAATTTGTATTCAATTAGCTATAAATAGACATAAATCGGGTATAAATCACATACTGTCATCGTGCTCTAAACTAGGATTCAGTGTATCGTGAGAACCGGAGACTTATATACATATTACGTTTAAATATATGTACATATACCCGTAGCTACGTAATGTCTATAAAAGGGCCATTCTTGCCTCAGCAGTAGTGAAGTAGAATTTATAAGTCTACCTAACATCATGTGGTAGATCTTCGGTCAACAAATTCCGTATGTTCCTTTTAGGTCAGGAGAGTGACATAGGCTACCTTTATCCTAAAAAAATATTACACAGGATACAACATTGTTTAGGTATAGTTTAAGAAGTAATAGTATGCAATAATTTAATTTTGTGGTTCTACAGATAAAGTATTGTTATAATTTGTCACTGTTATGAGCTGGAGCTCAGGAAAAATTAAAACTGTTCATTGAAACACTAATTAAAAGTCAATTTAATTATAACGACAATTAAGGGTAGACTTAACGGTCATGATGGTCTTTGCTCTTCCTCTAGGTGATCATTTGTCGCCTACAATCCATGTCGTCTGTGCCAAGATTTATATTCGCTTCGATTTTGTCCACAATGTTACAGAACATTTAGGACGTGTTCCAGTTGTTTCTATATGCGTTTTTGCTATTTGACGACAGATGCCACTACAGTTACTGGCATAATTTTACCTTTCAATTACTTTTAACACTTTTTCTTTATCTTTAATAATTTTAATACGCAATTCATAACTCAAGCGATCCCCTTTTTTATTTTTTGTATCGACAGCTTGAGTGTGATAAAATATATGTGTTTTAAGAAATAAATAAACTTGAAACATGGGTGTCAGCATATTGCGTGAACCTCTCGATAACTGTCTTGGAAGCTCCTCAATTCTACGACACCAGATTGCAGTAGTCATAAGATTTTTGCAATTTCTTATTTATCATCAGCGCGACAGCGCCCCCCATGTTTCTAACATATTACTTTCTTTTCTTTTCAAATTACTTATTAATAGTAGCTTTCATGAATTTACACGTGTAAAGTTATTAGTGAGTACTTGTAAATATGATTAAAATTTGATTAAGTTTTTATCCATCTCCGAGATTGCAATTCCCGCCATGCTGCTGTTATAACTTTTTTTTTTATTGTTGTAGATGTTAAAGGGTGCGAAACAATCGAGTCACATTGATATTTCGATTATCTTTTCACTTTATTGTTTTTCGTCAGTGTAATTTGTAAGTAGTGCTGTATTGTTGGCAGTTTAAGTGGCAACGTGGATTTTAAAGTCGAATGTTTTATTTAACGTTCTCGAATGTTCGGCTATATGAAAATGTACATACCTACATTTTTTGTTGTTATAAACTCGCCAGAAATAGTTTAAGGATTTCCTTCGGTTTTCACGAGCTGCAGACATAATTAAAAATTAAGTTTAAGTTTATAAAGATAGCGTTGAAAACAAAAGTGAACTTAAGATTTTATTTTATTTTATTTGAGGGTAGCTCGCAAAGAATATTATAATTTCGACGAACAGCACCCCAGCCTTCCGCGACCACGTTCCTTGTGCAGTGCTCGTAACGTCCGAAATGTTATAAGCGAGACTAAACAGTAAAAGTATTTTCAACGGTATATCGAGGGGTGTGACGTCAATGTTAAAACCGAAAACCGACTTCGACTCGAAATTTAACTGAGAAAAGAAAAGGATCAACTTTCTAATTTAAAAAAAAAAAACGAACCATCAAAATTAGTTTTCTCAGAAAAAAAGTTCGGAGGTTAAATATAAAAAAGGAAATCAGTCGAATTGAGAACCTCCCTGCATTTTTTAAGTAGGCTAAAATGAATTATATGGTTACTAGTTCATGAAAAAAGTAAACACCGTGACGTCATTTGGCTCTAAATTGTACTAAGCTAGAATGTTTTATTGTAATAAAAAAAAAGGTTGTACATTTTTTTTTTACGCTAGGGAATGCAGGCATCAAGCCATTTAATATATTTATTTAGTTTTTAATTCCTGTGTTAAGTTAAAAATGTTGTTTTGTTGTTTAGATGTTTTTATAAAACACTAGGCCGTGTGCTTTGTAATTAATCATCACGGACCTTGATGCTTTTATTGAGAAAAATGATAACATCTTCATTTCAGTATTAAGTCGCCTAAAATATGAATGTGATGAATGTGTTAGAAAAACATCAACCAATTCAATTTGAAAATAGCATAAAAAAATTATAAACTATTGAAAAAAGATTGTAAATAAATCTTCATTCAGAATCCTAAAATGTTATATCTTGTTCCGAAATAAAAGCCTACTCTATAAAGCCAGGTCAGTAAAAATATTCGTCCTGGTCCTCTTGGAGGGCTCGGGTTTGACGCGTCCTGAGACAGTTCGCCATCTCTCTCCGCTCTAGGCCATTCTGTTTTACTCATTTCATGGACTGTGGTCCCGATTTGGTCGGTCCATTGCATTGGAGACTCGCGTGCTCTTGTACCGTCCGCTCTTCCTTTTAAATTAGTATATAAATATTAAATTTGCTAAATTAAGCTACATGACAAATATTATGGGGCTACCAGAAAAAAAAACAAATAATTCCTCAGTTTCGGAATTGGTATTGGATTATTTTCTATCGCAAATGTCAATAGAGTTCAAATTAAAATTAAAATTTCGCGGCTCTTTAACAATAGTTTTAATGCGTGTAGTTTAAGTAAACCATAAGAAAAAAAATTTATGACAGATATCTGTGTAAAAAAATTATGGCAAAAGGAGATTTTAAATATAAAGTCAGAGTTTCTAAGTTTATTGAATGAGGCTTAATTATGGAGGGTAGAAGTAAGCCACACCTTCTCATATAGAGGACAAGTTGAAGAAGTGTTCACTTGTAAACAGCGAATTGTTGTTGGAAGACTCACCGAAATAGCGCTAGTGTAGGAAGTGGAAATGGTATGCATATAGCAGTTTTAAACAGAGTCTAGTGTGCTTTATTGAAAATTTTGAAGTGAAACTTCTTTAGGCGCATGAGGGTAAAATTTTTACAGATGTAACGTCACGCAGGTATGCAACGGAAGTGTCGAAAAAGAGAGAGCGATCGAGACCGATTGAGAGAGAGTAATACAGGGCGACGTAGCATGAAGCAACTAGCCATGGAGTGAGAGTAGGAAGTAAGCAAGTGAGAAAGATCGAGAGAAAAAGTGAGACAGAGCGAACGTCGTATCACGCACAGTGCCATGGAACGAGAGGTGGGAGAGAGCTATAGTGAGAAAAATTGAACGAGAGAGAGAATAAGGGATATCGAGAAATAATACACGCTATATTGGTTTGTGTATTCGTTTACTAGCTGATTATTAGAACTTTAGATGGCAATTCTGTCGCATAACGTCATTTGCAGTAAACGCAGATTTTTTATATTTTTCGTGACTTTTGTATTAAAAAAAAACAATATTTAAAACTCAAGTATTTATTTTTATTACTATTTACGTAGGACGTGTTTCTTAAGTATTTATTTTTATTACTATTTACGTAGGACGTGTTTCTTTCCTTCTTACACGCTTAAACAGCGTCCTACGTTAATAGTTTATTGGCACTGTTTTTAAAAACCTTCCACTTACTACTGTGGCGCCACCTTAATAGGCTCCCTTTCCGCGGACATTTTTATTACACTGAGATGTTCCTCCTTACTTCTACTCTCCATAGTTTTAATATATTAGCATAGATTAATAAGCAATCTACGTGAAATAATGTTTTTAGACTAAGTAACATAATAGTATGTTTATTGTATAAAAATGCTTCGAGGAAAACATGAACATGTATATTATAATGAAAAGTATGCAGTGTTGTACATATAAAATATATAATAGAATTGTGAGAAGAGGTTTTGTGTTTAATTTTTAGTGTCTGTGGTTTTGACTCTTTGGTATATGACACTACCCAAAGACTACAAGTCCCAAAGATAAAAAACGGTGCGCGTGCAACTTGGTTGGTGCACGTGAATGAAGTGAAACTTCTTTTTCGATGTGTAGTATTGTGGTTTTCTTCATTTTTAATCCTTAAATCAGATTGCTCTTGTAATAGGGAATGCTGTGTATAAGAGACGCGACATCTCAACATTTATATTATATATATTTTAAATACTTCATTAAATATTCGACGCTACTCGTTGCTAACGCCGCGCTGACCTGTAGGTAACAGGACTAACAGGTATACTACGCGCATGCGTTCGAGTGCCCAACATTCACTCTCGCTCTGTCTCTGTGGCGGGTAGCCATCATACAACGCAAGATAATTGACAGATGCCTGAATCTCGCTTAGGACATTTTCAAGATAAAGCGCATATATACAAGTTCCGAACAACAACATTCGGACCGTCGGTCTACCGAGCAATATCATCCGCTCGGTGGAAGATCTTTCCTTTCGTCGTTAAGACACCCAAACTGGTGACCTGCGACGGAACAATCGCAACCTTCTGATTCATCATCAGCGCATCAATAAAAAAAAAAAAAACTTCGGCTACCACAATCCCCGCATTCTCGCAGATAAAAGCAAGTCATCGACAGTCGTCCCACAGCAAGCCAGCATCGCGCAGCCTCAACAGGACCATCGCAGCCGACTCACCGTGCTTCCTGGCCCTACGGCACGCACCTACACTGCCTCATCGCGCAGCATTCAAGCTCAGTCTCGACTCACCGCAGACTTCAAGCAGCACTGGCGACAATCACGCAGCATTCAAGCTCAGCCTCGACTCACCGCAGGCTTCGAGCAGCACTGGCCCTTGCAAGCTAATCTCAGCACGGACAACGCTAACTAAAAATGACACGACCTCCAGTCTCGGAGGGGAGTGATGTGGCGGGTAGCCATCATACAACGCAAGATAATTGACAGATGCCTGAATCTCGCTTAGGACATTTTCAAGATAAAGCGCATATATACAAGTTCCGAACAACAACATTCGGACCGTCGGTCTACCGAGCAATATCACCCGCTCGGTGGAAGATATTCCTTTCGTCGTTAATACTCCCAAATCTCTTTCTAGTATGGAAGCGTTAAACGTTTAACGCAACTTTGTTGGAAGTCGCATTAGAAGTTTCACTTCAAAAAGGTCTGCCAATTGCGTATTTGCCCATTAGTAGAATCTAATTCCACACAGAGATATCGAACTAACTTATTAGTATTCCAATGAAATCTGGTTAGTTCTTGAGCTACATTTTGATTGTAATTTTTTTATTGCTTAGATGGGTGGATGACTTCAGGGCTTATTTGGTGTTAAGTGGTTACCGGAGTCTAAACGCATCTACAACGGAAATGCCGCAACTCCCTTTGAGCTCTGAGTCGGTTTATTTTTTTACGTGATAACGTCTTATAACTCGATAAAGACGGGCTGGACACTCGAAAAAGTGTCACATTGCGCTTGAGCAAGAGTGTGCAAGCCTGAGCACGGAACAAGCGACAGTGAGGCACGCTCCGCTCAAGCGTTGGCTTGTAACACATTTATCTCTCCTCTCGCGTGATGTCAGAACTAGTTCAAATAGTTCCGCTACTGACGTTATGACATGTGTAGAACCGACTTTACAGTCAATTTACAGATTAAGCTTTTTTTTTTTTTTCCTACCTAAGCTGATAGCCCTAGCGGCTATTTCAGCGTAGCCTTAACTTTAGTAGGTGAGCTCACGGGGCTCAAACCTGACGATGTTGCTAACACGAACCCTAGCAAGAGTCGTGCTTCGCAGAATCTACCACCGGATCGGAAACGCGACCCACTGAGAAGATCCGGCGAGAAACTCAGTGGGCTGTGTNAGCCCACTGAGTTTCTCGCCGGATCTTCTCAGTGGGTCGCGTTTCCGATCCGGTGGTAGATTCTGCGAAGCACGGCTCTTGCTAGGGTTCGTGTTAGCAACATCGTCAGGTTTGAGCCCCGTGAGCTCACCTACTAAAGTTAGGGTTACGCTGACATAGCCGCTAGGGCTATCAGCTTAGGTAGGAAAAAAAAAAAAAAAAATCCGAAGCCTTTTTCAATCAACATCTCTCGAGCTGCAGTGCAAGTTTTATTACGTATTTACCAAAGTCAATTTAACAGTCCCTTGGTGTATTTTTATTCAACCAGGGTAAGTGTTTCATAATTTATTCTCCACACTGTGTCCACAACCTATATCTAAATAGAAGTTAATACCACTTTGTCTTGTCGTGTAGGTTCTAATAACTGGTACATTACATGTACATCAGTTAGGGTGCGGAGTGTGACTTTATTATAACCTTCGAGATCCCGCAGCACCTTTCTGCATGGACGCTGCCGGAAGCGAGGTGCTCTGGCTAGGCGATCCAAGAAAGTGCTTGACTACCGTAGAACAAGAAACACACCTGCATACACAACCTGGGTTGGATCCAGCAACCCCAGTTGCGGGGAAGCAATCCAGTGAACGTTCATCGTCCATTTGTGAACCAAACTGGTGATACCGTCTTTGTTTATAGAATTGTTATTTTAAATCTCACTTTCATTGAATACTTTCTCGTGTGTTCGGTATACCTACCGACACACATTTAACAAGGATACCTTACCACTAACTTAATCTGTGTGAACAATTATAACCATTAAAGCTGTATTAATTTGTAGTGAATAAACTCAAGTGTAATAGATTGTAATTGTTTCATTTATTGGCGTGAGTCTCCCAGAGCGGTAAGTGGTGGCGCCCTGAGATCTTCCTCACAGAGTCTCCTGTTCACCGGTTGTCTACCGGTGGTGACGTGTCTAGAAGTGGTGCGACTCGGCCCCGTGTCTCGACC